ATGATCTCTAGTGGAGATCTAGTGGGAAGGAAGGCCCAACAGTCTGAACACAGGCACTAGATTGTGTGATTCTCTGTCCCTCTGTGTGGCAAGGCCCCTGAGTGGCAAACTAGAGGGTGCCTACGGCCTGCTGAAGCCAAGCCTTGTTTCAGCAGCGTGTTTTCTTGGAAAGGGCTACTTAGGTGACTGTCCATTATGGAAGGAAAAGTCCTAAGAGCCTGATGCACATAAGAAGGAAGGACCTTCTGTSAGGCTTCTCCTACTATTCTGACTCCATGTGAGGCTTGTGGATGTAAGCATGCAGAGAGGTGAAGGGGAAGATGTTGGTCTCAGAAAGGGGGAGAAGGAGAGTGGGGAAGAAGAGCCCCCAAGGTTCCCTTTCTCCGCCAGGACATGTCCAAGCTAACGAAGGAATGTAGGACTGCAAGAGGAAACATGAACCAAGGAGAACAAGCAGCGCACGAGGAACGAGTGTGCACAAGAGCAGAAGGACGAGCGGGCTGGGGCCCCTCGGGAGCTCCTCTGTGTGTCCCCACGTGTGTCCCTGACACAGGGTGCACGGGGGGATGTGGTGGGCTCCTGCTGGCGTGTGACATCGCGGCAGGCTTCGCGCCACCGCCCGGCTGTGTGTGAGGTCACAGGCGGGCAGCCCTTATAGGCGCAGGGCCGGGGCCCCCCTCAGCCTGCCGCTCGGAGCTCAGCGCGGTCTCACGACCAGTTGTGCTTGGCGGGTTGGCTCCTTCTGGGGCGCTTGGGGTCTTTTTGCCTGCGGTGGTGAAAAGGCTGTGTGTGTGTGTGTGTGTGTGTGTGCGCACGAGGAAGCCAGGCCACATCTGGCTCCTGGCAGCCATGGCCAGGAGGCAGCCCCAGGCGCGGCCAGGGTGTCGCTGGGCGGCACGGGCCGCTCCTGCGGAGCCGGACACCCAGGTGCTGCAGAGGGCCGCGGTGTCTGCGGCCGTCCTCAGCGTGGCCACCAAGGTGCCCGTGAGCACCAGGGAGCACGCCAGGGGCAACGCTGGTGAGTGTGGCGCTGCCCAGGCTCCCTGGGAAGCCCTCGCGCGCCCATCCCTCGGCTACGCTGGAGCTTCTCCCCAACATGGCTTGTGCAGGCCTTGGTGCCGGGCACAAATAATGGAATCATAGAATCACAGAATGCTTAAGGTTGGAAGGGAAGGGACCTCACAACTCATCTAGTCCAACCTCCCTGCTCACGCAGGGTCACCTAGAGCACATGGCACAGGACTGCGTCCAAGTGGGTTTTAAAGATCTGCAGAGAAGGAGCCTCCACAACCTCTCTGTGCCAGGGTTCTGTCACCCTCACTGTCAAGAAGTGTTTCCTTAAGTTCCTGTGGAACTTTTGGTGCCTCTGCTTGTGGCTGTTTCCTCTAGTCCTATCGCTGGCCACCACTGAAAAGAGGCCGCCCCCCTCCTCCTCCTCACTGCCTCCCTTGAGGTGTTTATAGGCAATGATAAGGTTCCCCCTCAGCCTTCTCTTCTCCAGGCTGAACAGGCCCAGCTCCCTCAGCCTTTGCTCACAGGGCGGATGTTCCAGGCCTCTGATCATCCTCGTAGCCCTGCGCTGGACTCTCTCCAGCAGCTCCACATCCCTCTTGTCCTGGGGAGCCCAAAACTGTCTCCAGATGTGGCCTCACCAGGGCTGTGTATAGGGGGACAATCACCCATGTCAGCCTGCTGGAGACTCTCTTCTTAATGCACCCCAGGAGAATCCTATGATGCCAGAGCAGGGTCCCAGGGAGGGTTTAGAGCAGGCCCACGACCCCGCTGCAGTTACCTACCTCTCGCCTGCTCTTTGGCTCCTGCGTGGCCGTGGCACGCACCTCTGGAGCCCGCCCGGCCCAGCTGTGGCGGCGGCAGTGCCTGCAGGGGACGGCTCCTCAGCTCCCCGAGGTGTCCTGCTGCGAGGCACGGCCGTGGCACGGCCCCTACACAGGGCRTCAGYGAGTGGGGCTCAGTGCGAGCCTGCCGTGCAGAGCTGAAAGGCCTGGGCATCGTGCGGGAGGCCCCGCACGGAGGCCACCTCCATTGCCACTCTTCCTTCTCGCCCAGGGATCTTCCACCGGATCACCAGCTGCCTGGCAATGCTTCTCATCTTAATACGGAGACTCCCTGGCACCTGTGTCTCCAGCATGTGAGTGTGTCCCCTGGCCCACCCCACCGCAACATCCTCGAGGGCTCCCTCATCTCCCAGAGGCCATCTCTGGTTTTATAGCCAAGGAGAAAGCAAACCCAGTGTGCAGGCTCCTTTCTGGCTTCCCCGTGGACATCTGCCCGCTTCCCTGGAATCTTTTGATGGCTCCTGTGGAGTTGCTCTTGCGGCCCTTTGCTGCACGATGGCCTGCCAGGCTCGCCAGCCCTGCCACTCTCCTTTGGTAATAAGAGGACTCCCTCTTTTGTAGGAAAAGGATTCCCCTGAGGAATAATGTGTTCTGGAAAGCCCTTTTGTGGACCTGTGTCGGCATTGGTGAGTATTTGTGAGCAAAGAGGTGCCGTCAGGAAGCAGCCCAGCGCTGCTGGAGGCTGGAGGCCCAGGAGAGCCTCTGGGGCCGCGTCCTGCTGCCCTTGGCTGCACTGGAGGCAGCTGCAGAGATGCTCTCTACAAGGGTCCCGTTAGCCCAGTAACCCCGCTGTCTCCTGCTGCTGTGAATTGCAGTGAGTGGCTACTGCGTGATGATGCTGCCAGCCTGGACTCTGCCGAGGAAAGAGGCACCAGAGGCAGGGGCGCGAGCTGCAGGACAGGTAACGGCTGCCAAGGAGAGGGGCTGGCACGGGCTGCATCCATCCCTACACGCTGCCGTGCCCTGCAGCGGGAAGCTCGACCCAGCTTCCTTTGGCCGCAGGGAAGCAGCAAGTGGTGCTGGGCTTCCTGGAGCGGCGTCTGTGGGAAGCCCAGGCACTTGGGGTAGCGCCTGTGCTCACGGCAAGCTCTTGTCTTTCAGGGCTTCCTGGGATGGCTCTTTGAGGACGTCACCGCTAAAGAGTGAGACACCCTGTGCCTGGGGACTCCTTTCACAGCACAGTGTCAGCGGGGCATGTGCTCCTTGCATGTCCTAGCAGGCCTCCTTGTGTGGCCCTTTGGCTGAGGCTGCAGGGGGAAGGGAAGGCACTGCCCCGACGGGCAGAGCAGGAGGGGCCCAAGCTCCAGGAGCTCTTCTCTGCTCCGGGCTGTGAGGCTCTCCGCAGGGGATGGGCAGCTCTCAAGCCCAACGTTCCCGCTCTCTGCAGGGACCTGAGGAGCTTGCTGGCTGAACAAGCCAACCAGATGGAGCTCCTCAAGGGGCAGGTTGTGCGCCTGAGTGCTGAGATCAGCAGTGTGAAGCAGGTGAGGCTGCATTTGGTGASAGACACCTTGGCTGAGCGGGAGCGCTGACAAGACACTTCTCGSTTCACAAAGAGTGGAGGGATTCAGGGCTTTGCACAAGGTGGCCCTTGCATTTTGTGAGGCAGGCTCTTGCCTTTCGTCTGTGCTAGGTCTAGCAGGCCTGCCAGCTGCCTGCTGAGGTGGTCCTTTCCTGTGTCTGCTTGTGTCTTTGTCAGGACGTGCAACAAATGAGAGAGGCCCTGCTCGACGAAGGCCACGTGCAGCTCTCTGACTGGGCTCTGAAGAGTTCAGGTGAGCACGCAGGCACACAAGTCTCCCTGTGCTGTGCTGGTGTCCCTAGGGAGGCTGCGTGGCAGCCCCTGCTCACCAGGGCTGCRGGACATGAAAGGACACATGGGGATGCAGGAGCAAGGCTGTGGCAGAGGGGCTGTCTCTGACCCACAGCCGCTCCTGCCCGGGGGCTGCGCCATCCCAAAGGTGCCTCTGGCGCTGCTGTCTTGGGTTCTTGTGCCCACTCAGAGGTTCTCTTCTCTCCCCTGAGCATTCCCATCGACCCAAAGGGAGAGGCTGCCCTAGGCTGTGCTGCGCACACAGCACGAGCTCCGCTGGGCCTCCAGCCGGTGGGCACTGTTGGAAATGCCCTGGAAGCAGGCGCGCTGTGGCAGCTGGCAGGCAGCAGCTCCATCTGCCTTTCAGGAGCTGCCATTGATGTGCAGAGGACTTCCCCCACTTACGCCCGGGCAGGGAGTTGGCTCTGCAAGGTCTTCTGGTTGCTGTGTGCTGCCAACCCGCCAGATACCATTCTGCAGGTACCGGAGCAGAAGGGCTGCGTGCGCTTCCAGTTCCTCCAGCACTGGTGCTGTCCCCATGACACCCTCTGCATTTCTTGCTGTCCTCTTGTGCTTGCAGCCTGACGTGACACCGGGACAGTGCTGGCCCTTCCAGGGCTCCCAGGGGCACGTGGTCATTCAGCTGCCCGCCCRCATCTGGCCAGCTGCTGTCACTGTGCAGCACATTTACAAGGCTGTCTCGCCGAGCGGCACGGTCAGCAGCGCCCCGCGAGACTTCAGTGTTTCTGTAAGTCTCTGCTGCTTGGGCTACGGTGGTGGTGGTGGTGGGGGGAAATATGCCCTGRGGAGAAGAGGCATTGCCTTGTCGTGCATTCTGCCCCGTTTGGGCCTTGGTGTTGTGGGGCTCACGCTGCTGCTCTGTCTTGAAGGGAATGCAGAAGGAGGGCGAGGAAGAAACTCTCCTTGGCTCCTTTACCTACGATGTGGACAAAGAGGCCATTCAGACCTTCCCTCTGCAGGTAGAGGAAGCGCGTGTGGGCAAGGGCCAGGCAGAAGGAAGGCTTCCCCTCAGACCTTTGGCTCAAAGAGCATCACCAGTCACAGTGCTGGGTGGGGATGGTTGGAGAGACCTGCTGTGCTCAGGGCTGGGCTGGCACAGGGAGATGCGTGGCTTGTGCTGTTGCTCTTTGCACCCACCAAGCGTGTTTCTTCTTCCCCTCTTTTCTTTCCAGCAGAAGCTCGGCAAAGCCTTCCAGTATGTGAAGCTCAAGGTACAGAACAACTGGGGAAACGCAGAGTACACCTGCATTTACCACGTGCAGGTTCACGGGAAGGTGGCTGGATAGACATGGTCCCAAGATGCCGAGGCGGTAGGCAACGCTGCTTTAAAATATCCAATAAAATTATGCAAACATGAGGAGGCTGGTCTACGTCAATTCCACTTTGAGTGCAGCCTAAGAGGAACTCTGTGGTAGGTCTAGGAGGTGCTGCCATGTTGCACTTTTGGCTGGAAGCTCTTAGAGGATGCTGTGGGAAGCGCTGAAGTTCCCTTGCTCCCTGCTCCAAGAAGAGGGCTGGCTCTCTCATGACACTTGAAGCTGCTTCTGTGTATTTGAGCTTCCAAGGACCAAAGCAGAGCAAAAGCCAGTCCCTAAACCATGCAGCCTGCACTCACGCTCACTACCTGGCCATAGAGTTCCATTCTCTGCCATGGAATCCCTTCTCCTGGCCAGGTTGCAGTGGGCTCCTTCTGGGAGCAGAGGACTCGCGAGAGGCCTCACCTGCTCTGCCGGTCCCTCAAATAGCTCTGTCCCTGCTCCCATGGCACTGAAGGACATTCCATCCTGCAGCAGGACTCTTCAGCAACTGTGGTGCCGCCATGTCTCCCACCTGCCCCACAGCTCTGTGTGTTTAAACATGTGGGTAAGGTCACCTGGGAAGTGTCCTGCTTTCCCAGCAAAAGAGGAAGCAAGCCCAACACAAGGACAAGTTTCTGCCTTCACTTGGGGTACCTGTCTGCTTGCCTCACTGGATTATGTGCCCTATTTGGAAGGCGCTCTTGGGGCTCTTTGTTGCGAGAAGCTCTGCCTGGATGGTGAACACCGCTGGCCAAAGCCATGGACACCCAGGAAAGCCAAGTTCTCAGCTGAACAKAAAACATGCTGCCACTTTCACCCCATTCCCATAGGCCTATCTGCCCCTTGCGCCTGCAGTGACACAGGAAGGTGGGCTAGGAGCGCTCGCCAAGCCCCTTGTCTTGGGGACAATGCAGAACAACTGGGGAAATGCAGAGTACACCTGCATTTACCACGTGCAGGTTCACGGGAAGGTGGCCGGATAGACATGGTCCCAAGATGCTGAGGCCATGGAGAAAGCTGCTTTAAAATAACCAATAAAACTATATAAACAGGAGGAGTCTCGTCTACGTCAATTCCACCCTGAGTGCGGCATAAGAGGAAGTCTCCCTTCTTCTGGCCTAACCCCTAGGTGGGCTAGGAGCGCTCGCCAAGCCTCTGGTCTTCGGGACAATGCTGTAAAATGCCCGTGTCTGACTACACAAAAGGGAGGAAGTCATTTGTTGAAGACGTTCCTCAAGTCGCTCCTTTGTTGATCCTTGCAAAGCGTGCCCAGAAAAAGGCTCCACGTTTTGGGCATACAGGGGCACTTCCGCAGCCATGGCCTTGGAGGAGGGTGACAGGCACATGTGTGCCGATTTGCAAGTCCTGATTGGCAACAAGTTAGCCAGGAGGCAGCGGTGTGCTCTTGTGGCCAAGAAGGCCAAAGGCATCCTGGGCTGCATGAGGAGAAGTGTCACCAACCGGGGAGGGAGGGAGGAAGGGGATCCTCCCGTTGTAATGAGCTCTGTTGATGCCACCTCTGCAATGTTGTGGGCAGTCCTGGGCTCCCCAGTGCAAGAGGGACGTGCAAGTCTGAGAGAGGGTCCAGCATAAAGCGGCAAGGATGATTAAGGGACTCGAGCATCTCTTGTCTGAGGAAAGACTAAGCAGGCTAGGCCTGTTGGGCCTGGAGAAGAGAAGATTGAGAGGCCATCTGATCAACACGCGCAAGTAACTGAGGGCAGAATGTAAGTGCGTGGGGCTAAACTCTTCTCAGTGGTGGCCAGTGAGAGGACAAGGGGGCACAAAGTGGGGACAAATGGAAACCCAGGAAGCTGCATGTCCATATGCGGAAGAAGTCCTTTCCTGGTCGGGTAACAGAGCACTGGAAGAGGCTGCCCAGAAAGGCTGTGGAATCTGCATGTTTGCAGAGCTTCCCAACCCGCTTGGACGCGACTCTCTGCACTGTGCTCTAGGTGGCCTTCTTGCCCTCATGGCCAAGAAGACCAATGGGATTGTGGCCTGCATGAGGAGGAGTGTTGCCAGCAGGTGAAGGGAAGGGATCCTGCCCCTCTACTCAGCTCTGGGGAGGCCGCACCTGGAGTACTGTGTGCAGTTCCGGGCTCCCCAGTATAAGAGGGACGTGGAGCTCCTAGAGAGGGTCCAGCAGAGAGCAACAAAGATGATGAAAGGAATTTAACATCCCTCGTATGAGGAGAGACTGAGTGAGTTGGGCCTGTTCATCTTGGAGAAGAGAAGGCTGAGAGGGGATCTGATTACCATGTATAAATACATGAAGGGAGAATGTATGGAGGAAGGGGCCAAGCTCTTGTCATTGGTGGCCAGTGACAGGACAAGAGGAATCGGGTGTAAGTTGAAACATAGGCAGTTCCATCTCCAGGTGAGGATGAACTTCTTTACTGTGAGGGTGCCAGAGCCCTGGCACAGGCTGCCCAGGGAGGCTGTGGAGTCTCCTTCCTGGAGGTCTTCAAAACCCGCCTCGATGCCGCCCTGTGCCCCGTGCTCTGGGTGTCCCTGCTGGAGCAGGGGGTTGGACTAGATGATCTCTAGATGATCTCTAGAGAGAGACCTAGGGACCTCAACCACTCTGTGATTCTGTGATTCTTGAGATGAGAATTATGGGCACACGTAGCACCTGCCAGCTACCACACTTCTCACTGCAGTAGAAGTACCTTTGTTTGCTTTGCCTTGAACAGGTTTGGGATCATCTTTAATGACCGAATTTTCAACTCCTGGTCAAAGACCTTACTACAAGCAGTTTAATGACCATTGACAATTACAAATTTTAAATGGATTATGTCACAGTACTACATAAAATACAGATGCTCAGGGGGACATGAGGCTTCTACACTATCCTAGTGTGTCCAAGAAAAAGTGAGTTTATGTCCTGTATCTGTTCTCTGCTCACTGTGATGTTGCCTAATGTGGAAGTTTTTCAGCTGTTTGCCAGCTGTTCAGCTGTTCAGCTCTTTGAGAGATCAAGGGAGGTTTCTTTAAAAAATCCAGTATAGATCTCTCCAATCCACATTGTTTTGGGAACAGGAATCAAAGGCCTGCCTCTGGGATGCGTTTACAGGAGATGAGTTTATAGGAGATGAGTTTATAGGAGATTTGTAGGACAATACATTATCATGGGTGAGGAGAAGAGCTACATGCTCTGCATGGAGCCCACCCACAAGCAAGGACTTCACCTTCAAGATGAGCAGGACGGGCTGCAGTCCTGCAGCAGTGGGTCTGACAATTGCTGTGAGCCTGATGCACTGGCCCGTCCTTCTCAGGGGTGAGTATCACTCGGTGTGACCATTTATGTCTTAAGCTGTTCTGCTCTATAATTGCATCAACTGCTGTGTCCAGTGACTTGCAGTGAAAATTCAGTGCTGGCTATGGTCTGTGGAAATAATTCAGAGGTAAAAATTAAGTACAGGCGAAGGCATGTGCCAGGCACACCTCCACAGCCACTTAAGAAGGATGCAGTGAAAACCAAAAACCCTGCAGGTAGAGTTAAATGATGCAAATCTCGCAAACTAGCAGAGAGACTGAGAGTTCAGATTTTTTTGTGGTTTTTTTTTTTTTTTTTTTTTTTTTTGTTTGTTTGTTTGTTTGTTTCGTGAACCTAAACAATTAACTGGGGGAAAGGTGACAGCCCTGCTGTGCCCAGGAACTTGGGGTTGCAGAAAAGTCACTTTTTGTAGATTTTGTGCTTGGCAACCCTTTTGCAAATTCTTTGACAAGAAGAAAAACAACCCACTCTCTTCTGTTGTTGTAAGAGAAAATAAAATCCTTGAGTCAGATCCTGATGTCTTAGGCTTTTTTTGCTCTTTGGGCCTGGGGAAAGGCTAAGTAAAAAGGGGCATAGAAGTGGGATTAATTTATGTTGGTTCAGAAAAGACATGCTCAGTGCTGAACAAGCTCTGTGCCTGAGGTCAAGCTGCTCCAGACCTGCACTGGCGGATGATGTCTCAGAGAAAATCAGCCTTTTCTCCTTGCAAGGCCTGGCAAACCTTCTCTACTTGACTCTGAGTCAGCTCTTTAGCCACAGGAGCCAAGCGAGGTGATATTTCTGCTAATGAATGATGTACTGAAGAGCTGCAGTTATGCAAAACACTGTAATTTTCTACTGTTTCAAGTTAAAAATTGACTTTTTCTTTTTGCAAGCTTTTCCACGTGGAAGAGCCTCTCTACTTCCCTCTTTCATGGGGTGAAGCTAGAAGGAATAGACCTGTAATACCCTGAATACAGTCCCTTAAGACTGATGCATTGGTATGGTTTTGGACTCCCTAGTCTTCTGTAGTTGCAGATATGCAGAAATTTGTACCTTTTTTTTTATTATTATTATTTTAAGCTTCACTTCTACATTGGAAGCACAATTGAGTTGTATTCCCATATTCCCAAGGTCAGATACTTCCATGTCCTCACCATAGAGATATCTGAGGACACAAAAACGACATCTTAGAGAATCCTTCCACAAATAATTCACAAATCAGGCTGGCAGAAATAGCTTCCTAAATCCTATGTCATGCCCAGATACCGAAGCTCCTGCATTCTCCCTCATTGGAGCACAGTGCTGTTATTGCAAGACCCTTTGGAGGCAGGCAAAGGCAATTGTCTTTGCTTCCCAAGGTCCCTTCGGCTTTGTGCCCTGCATGCTGGGGTTATTGTGTTTTTGTACTGTTTCTTGACAAAATGTACTAAGCACCTTAATTAGGAGCAGCCAGATAATTGCTTTTTGAAGATCTTTTATTCCCACTGGTGCCGCCTCAGTGCAGCTATCAAAGCGAAGCTCCTGACACTCTCTTTGACATCTTGGGTACCGAAGCATCATTATGAGGCAGTGTCTGAATTAGGGTAAGAGATATTGACAGAGCGTCAGCTGGAGAGGGAAGCAGCGGGAGGAAATAACCTATTGGGAATTAGGTTTGTTTGCACAACGCTGGGATTAAAAATGCAATGAGCACAGATGTTTGTGTTGTATTTTCTGCAGCAATCGT